TGGACATCTTCTACGTCGCTACGGCTGACATGCTCGCTGATGCTCTCACTAAGAATGTTCCTCTGACAATTGTCAAGAAGTTCTGTGAAGGTGTTGGTCTTCGACACTGAATGCTCTTCCGTATGGACGGATTGAGTGGGAGTGTTGAACTTGGACTTATCCAGTCCGGACTACACGAGGCTATGCGTCTCCTAGCGCTTAGCTGTGGTCGCTTATGTAGTATGTTACCATATTTGGGACTCTCTGCTCATGTACTATAGCTATGCTTCCGGACTCTTCTGGTACTGTCTAGGACAATCCGTACTACTCCAGAACGGTCTAGACAGGTCTATGCCTTACTCATCTCTTACTCATCCTATGGTGCGATACGTCGCAATTCTTTCGTCGTTGTATTATTCATCGCACTATGGTACATGTGACTAACCACTCTTTGATTAGTCATGGACTCTTCTCTGTAGTATATAAGGACTTGAGATTGCGTCCTCCCTCTTCAGTCTTTCCTTACTGACTGAAGAGTGAGTACTTCGTTACATCTATCTCTAACTTGTAGTTACTTACTTAACCTTTGTAGTCTTGCTTCGACTCTAGGTACAGTTGGTTACTGCAATATAGTCTTTCCTTACTGACTGAAGATCTTGCTTCGACTCTAGTCAGGATCTAATCCTTGTCTTCACAGCCCCGAGTTTATCAACCCCTCCCCTCCTTTTCACATCGTGATCCTATTGATCTCATCGCCATCGTCGGTTCCAAGGTCAATGCCGTCATCAAAAGACTGCAAGCCATCTTCGATCGCAAGGATCAGCTGCTTGACACCCCCCACGAGCATCGACTTGCCCTCCAGCGCATCGGTGACAGACTCGAGTGGATACTCGACAACATCACGGAGAACGGCACCTCGTGGACTCGCAGCCAACAACAGAACATCGACTGGTTCTGTAAGGAGTTTGGAAAAGTCAAGTTTAGCGGACTAGGACAGAACTTCGAGCGCACTGTCAAGGGTCTGATAGAACTAGAGCGCTTCGGGTACTTGAATTGGATCGTCGTTTAGTTTTGTATATCGAATATCTTTCGCAATGGCTTCAGGCTCTCGTTACGCCCCTCTAGCAGAGGATGACTTTGAGTCAGATGACCCGGGCCTACACACACACCCGGCTCCATCACAGGCACACACCCGTCCGGCTTCACCCACTGCCACGCTTCAAGCGTACCCGGAAATTCAATGGATCTACGCTGGTGTTGAGTACGGCTCGTTAGAAGATGCTATTGGTGCCTCGGCAAACAGTTTGGGGATCACCAACCAAGCCTACGTCGACTGGACCATCTCCGTAACAAGGGACATCACACGGCGCGAAGTGGTCAATGTTTATAATGTCCTCGGCAACAAGATCTACGAACACCGGAACGATTTTCTTAAGGAACGTGATGCCACCCACGCCACTTTTGAAACCCTGGACAACTCAATGGTAGGCCTTCACACCAAGGCTGACATTGCTGGAAACCTTGCGCTCAAGGCTGTCGAAGAAAACAAACAGCTGAAGGCGGAACTGGTCACTGTCAATGCGGATCTGGAAGTTCTCAACCGGAACAACACGGAGCTCGTCAAACGGTACAAGGAACTCGCGGCCAAGTTGGAGCAAGGCTTGTCAAACCGCACCACGTTTGGTAACCCTGCCGCCCCGGCCCCTGTCGTATCCCAGGCTTCGCGTATCAAGGCGTCAGAACCACCCAAGTACAAGGGCAACAAAGGCTCGGACATCACTCTCGAACAATGGTTACAGAAGATGGGCCTCTGGTTCCGCGTCCAGAACATCACCACGGACGATGACAAGATTACCCTGGCCCTCATGTACTTGGAAGGCGGCGCGCACGACTACGTCGAAGACTACGTCGAGACAGCATCAAACGGCGGAACCCTTGGATCATGGACCGACTTCGTCAACCGACTCAAGGCAGGCTATCGTCAACTGGCTCCGGAAAAAACGGCACAGACATCCCTCGAAGAATGGTGTTCAAAGACCCACTCTACCGTCATCCAGTTTGCAGAGAACTTCCGCCGCTACGCCTCGAAGTCCGGTTACGCTGACGTAGAGCTCATCCGCCGCATCGACAATCAGGTTGGCAAGAACTCGCAGATCCTTACGGTTATGACAGCGATGCGGCAAGTCAACCCCATGCTGATTCCGACGAAATGGGAACACTATTTGGATTGGGTGCTCAAACTGGAAATGGAAACCCGTGGAAATCAGGCCAAATCGTCTTCGCAGCAGCACACGACTAGTCGCCCCCCACGGGACCCCAATGCCATGGACGTCGACGCAATGCGCAAGCCGGAGAAATTGTCTAAGGAACAGCTTGAATGGCTCGACAAGAAGCTCTGCTTCTGCTGCGGAAAGCACAAGTTTACGACCGGCCAGAAGTGTCGCAACCCTCAGTACACGGGCTACTACGAGCTTCCGGACATGAAGAAGCAGCCGGCTGCCCCGACCAAGGTTCGCACGATGGATCCAGCCGATGAAGACAAATGGGAGTACATCCGCAGGGCCCTCGAGGAGTTCGAAACCAAGGGAAAGGGCAAGGGCAAGGCACTGGAAACTGAGACCGCCGCACGCATCGTCGAGGTCAAGGAATCCGAGGAGGATTTTCTGGAACGGGTACTTTGAAGACTGACCAAAGTATCCGACTCTGTAATCATAGCGTAGACCTAGAGGATTCTTTTGTTCCACGTTCGAATGCTATTTATCTCGCATCAGCACGTCGCCCGCGAAATTTGTTCGATCTCAAAGTTTCCCTCACTCAAGGTACGCATGAAGTTCAGTCAGAAGCCCTCCTCGATTCAGGAGCCTATTCTTGCTTTATCCACCACCGGTTTGTTCAAGAACACGGACTCACCCTACGACGCCTCTCTCGTGAAGTGCGAGTTTTCAATGCAGACGCCACCGAGAATAAGAAGGGGTTAATCACACATTACGTCCGTTGTTTACTCCGTATCGGAGATCACCTCGCTTGGCAGTCGTTCCTTGTCACAGATATTGGGCGGCAAGACATCATCATTGGCATGGCGTTTCTACGTGAACATAACCCTGAACTCGATTGGAATGCAGGGAACATTGAGTTCACACGCTGTCCCTCAACATGCACCCAGCACACAGTGCAGGACGAAGAATTACGGAGTTTGCAACTTCCCCGAGTGGAAGATGTTGCACAAGATCAGTACGGTGACCTCGGCCCCGAATCCTGGGAGAGCACCGATCAGTTTATTCATTGGGTGAACTTCTCCGATGACCCAAGTGCTCGTCAGATGCGAGCCAGGTTAGAAGAGAAAAAGGATACCAACCCTGCAGCAAAAGGCGAACAGGACCGCGCATACTGGTCAAACCATGTACCAGAACAATACCGGCAGTATGGCGACGTCTTTTCCAAGAAAGCCTCGGAAAGAATGCCAACACGAAAACCCTACGA